TAATTATGAGTAGGTCTGAGTATGAGTAAGTTAATATGATCAGGTCTGAGTATGAGTAAGCCTGTGTATGGGTAAGTCTAAGTATGAGGAGGATGAGGAGGAGAAGAGGAATGAGGAGTAGGAGGCGTCCAAGTAATAACAGGAACGAATCTTAGGATATGGGAAGCAATAGGCCCCAGACTATGTTTCGCCTATGTTCGAACATTCCTCCTGTAGAGGGACAGGCCTGACTTAATGTGATCTACCTCGGACGCGGGCGCGGCACGCCCCCCCGCTGCCAGGCAGAGGCCCCCTGCGCGCGGGGTTATCTTTACAGCTGCGGGCCCGAGCGGGCGCGCGTGCACGGAGAAGAGGGAGGAGGGAAGAGGGATGCACAGAGATGATGGCTGTGATGAATATGCTGGCTATGATGGTGCTCGTGATGCTGATGATGATACTGCTGCTGATGATGATGCTGACGCTGATGCTGACGCTGATGCTGCTGCTGCTGATGATTATGATGATCATGACGATGACGATGACGATGACGATGACGATGACGATGACGATGATGATGATGATGATGATGATGATGATGATGATGATGATGATAATGATAATGATGATGATGATGATGATGATGATGATGATGATGATGATGATGATGGATGCTGATGCTGATGATCATGATTATGACATGCGGCAACGACGAGACGCCATGGCCATACGCGTGATGATGACGATGGTGTTGACCAGAACCTTCTCGGAATAGACGTGCATCGCTCCAATCACCACATCAGAAAAACGCCTTCTGCGACTCGCGTCGTGCCCGCCAGAGCTCTCGGCACCGCAACGTGACAAAGGGGGCGCACTCGAGCTGCGGTCACAAGGAGCACACACTGCGTGGAGCACGAGAGAAGGCCGCAGTGACCTCCGCACCACGCCAGGACGCAGGGCGAATCTTCATGATGCTTCACCGCCTGCATGCAGATGAGGCGGCTCGGGAGGGGAACGCCCGCCTTGCGCTCCGTCGCCATGGATATGCCTGGCCATTTGCCGATGGAGGCAACGCCGTGTCGATGTGACACAGGTTTGCCCATGGCGGTGGTGCCGTAGCTCCTGCAGGCCCGCCCTGGAAGATGTGAGCAGATGCGAGCGCGGCCTGCCGAAAATATGGGCATGTCAATGCCCTGCCCCCGCGAGGAGGAGGGAGCGGAGGGAGATGAGGGGGGGGGAGGCCTCGCCCCCCCGCCCCCTCTTGCCTCCCCCAACGAGAAAACTCCGTCTTGGTTCGCTCGTGGGACCGTCCCGCCAGCTGATCGGGAAGCGACCTCGCAGTGCGCCGGCGCTGCAGGGAGCTCGAGCATCTCGGGGATGTCCTCGAGGTCCTCGGGCAATGACCTCCGGAGGGGCGGGGCGGGAGTCTCGGAAGGGCTCCCGACGTGGACGCTGGGGGACAAAGACGCGGATCGCGTGTCGCGCCGAGGCGTGGTGGGCCAGAACGGGCGGAGCGGCACGCTGTCCCACAACTTCCCGGCCGCAGAGGCCCCTGACGGAGCACGGTTCGCCTCCTCTTAGCTGGCTCCGTCCTCCCAGGGCCGTTGCAGACCCCTTCGCGGAGGCGCCCGCTCTTCCAGCGCGCGCGCTCGGGGGAAGTGCTCACCCCGCGCGCGCGGGCAGCTCCAAGGCTGCTCGACGGGCGAGCAGTATTGTTGGCCACGCGGCGCGGGGAGCAACCGCACATCGGAGCAACAACCTGGCGCTGCTCAGCCTCAAGCGGCTGCCTCGCGGCAGACGCCTGGCACGGAACGGCATGCTATTCGCTGCCTGGGTCCACGCCAGCCAACCACTACAACACGGTGGCTTCTTGGGGGGAACGGAACTGTCCACAACGCTGCAGAAGGCTTCGCCCCCATAGACTTCGCCCACACAGGCTTCGCCGCCCCAGCTCCTGGGGCACTCCGGGGCGCCGTGGGCTGAACACTCAAAGCAGAATCCCGCATTTCCCGAGAGCACAAGACCGAGAGCCCCGTGACCATACTCGAGTGGAGATGGGACACAAATACTCCGTACGGCGGAGCGCAATCGGTCCAAATCCAAGTGGTTGCGAAGGTCAAGCTCTCTACGAAGGCGAGAACGCAACGTTCCAGATACGAATCTTGTGGGCGGCGCTACATGGATCGAGACGAAAGCCTACATTCAAGAGTATGCTGTGCGCCAAACTGAATTGGTGCTGAACTGCGACAGCTGGGGAGGTCTATGGCTCCAGGCGCAACGATCATGATTTGGGCGTTGGACCCAGTGGAGCTAAGACGGATAAGGACATGCTACACGTGAAAGCGAATAGACACGACACCTGGCCGACTTTCCAAGTTGTCGCGGCGGACCTGGATGACCAGATACGACGAAAGTTTCAAGTCAGCTCACAAGCGTCAGGAAGCAATGTGTATTTCGCAGGGGGATGATGAGGATACAGATAAGGAGCCGAACTCTGTACAACGACGCTTTTTGTCTGGTCCCGCACGGAAGCTCGTACAGGAAAACGGATCCTGGTGTATGCGGCATCCTGTTGTATACATTTTTGCTGTTTCCCCGGGAGGGCGGGGAAACAAGTACACACCACACCGCCCCGACGTCGTCCCCGAGCCCCAAAACGTCCTTGGATTGAAAACCCATCTGCCGCTGGTAGTGTATACGTTCCAGTTTCCGAGAGGATACAGTCGGGGAGTTGACCTAAGGAACCCTAAATAAGGAACGAGGCCCCTTTTTCCCAGAAGTTAAACTTCGATTTCCCATCGAAGCCCTAAGCAAAACCAAAGGCGAACTGCAAAACAACTAAGGAACACCGAGCCCCTCCCCAACGAAAAGGGTTCCTTCCTCAGCGCCCCGACTGTAGGGGGAGAAGGCGGGCCCCCGCAGCGCACAGCGGACACGTTGGCGCGAATTCGAGGCGCTCTAAGGCAGAGAGCTGCCGGCCACCCTCCGTCCCCTCCCCCCCCCCGACACGCGACGCCGCGAAACAGACAAACACACAACTGGAGCATCCTCTGAGGGTGGAGGGCTCAGGGTGAAATCCATACGGGCTTCCTGCGCCTCGAGAATCAATCCGTCTTGTGATTCACCTCTTGTAGACTCCGTCGGAACTCCATCGAAACGACAATTTCAGGTTTCACCCTTTGCCCTCCACCCACAGAAAATGCTCGGACAACGTCGCGAGACAGACCACGACCAACACGCTGAGCCCCGTTGTTCGTGCGGGAGGCTCGTGAGGGGGATCGGTTCGGAGAAGTTCCGAGGGCCGAGGCAGGGCCAATGAGCACCCGTCGTATTCTTTTCGCGATGGCCTGATGTCAGGCCGATCTCGGGTCGGGCGAAAGGGAGGATTAGCGAATCAGCTCTCAAGTGCAGTAGGGGCCCGATCACAAGAAACCTTGTTTAGGAAACCCAGCCCTGAGACCCCAAGACGTCCGTTGGTTTTCCGCGTGGGAACGTCGCGCTTTCCATCGCAAAGCATAGAAACCCAAGAAACCAAGGGCACCCTGGAGGCACGCGGGGTGTATCTTGGCATGGGCCCCCGCTGCAGCAACTGGTTTTCCAAACGTCCCCCAGCGCAGGAGGCGCCCATGCAGTTACCGACGGAAGGCGCTTGGCTACGGGGCCGACACAGGCAGCATGCAGCAAATTCCGTACCCCTCTCTTTCTCGACCCCCCTTTCGTCCGACCCGATCTGGCCTCCCCAAGTCAACGTTTTCTTCGTCGGCGTTTCGACACTGGGCGGAAGGGGGGGGGGGAAAGGGGGGTGCTGGCTCCGGACCTCTGCTTCCTGCGACTGTTTTTGCAGCCGTGCGTCCTCTGGGGGAGGCTCCGCCTGCTCGATCTACTCCATGTTTTTTGTTGTTGTTCTTCTTTTTTTCCTCCGCGAGCCAGTGGGCAGGACCGAAGGGGCACTGTCGCCAACACCGCGCACGGGCGTGCACTGAGTGTGCTGGCTTTGCCTGCATGCCGGGTTCAGCGCACACGCCTGAAACAAACGTTCTGTTTGAAGGATCTGCTCCATGGGGGGTGGGGGGAGGGGGGTTGCGAGAGCCCGCGCCGCTCGGCAAAACAATGACTGAGAAAACGACCACCAGATAGACAGGCAGGATCTACTCCATGGGGGGGTGGGGGGGGAGGGGTGCGAGAGCCCGCGCCGCTCGGCAAAACAAGGACTGAGAAAACGACCACCAGATATCCGGCGCCGCGACTTTCTCTCGGGGATGCACAGACCCCCCTTCAGCAAAACGTGGCTTCGTGAGGACGGCCTGAGGCCCAAACCAGGCGGGCGCAAGCCTGGAAAATAATCCGCCACGACGCCACCTCGAGAACCGAAAACGGACAATTCACTAATCGACGCGTCACTGTTGGGGGTCCTGCCCACCCCCGATTTTCGATGCACGGCCCCCGCCAGCGCGGCACGACCCATTGGAGGCGAGGGCGCCGGCGCGTGACCTCGCGCGGACAGCTCGCGCGCACGCGCGCCGGGCGTCGGCGCGGACGCCCCGTCGCGGCAACCGGGCCGCCACCACCTCTTCGAGACATCCGACGATGCAGCTTCCAGAGCGCGGCCCCGGGGGCCGCGACCCCTTCCCTGGGGTCGATGCTCGCGCTCTGGATAGACTGTTCATGGCCCTGGGGCCCAACTCGCTATCGCTCGGACGTTCCTTGCCTGTGTTTTTTTCGGTTTCGTGCGTGGTTTTTTCGGCAAATGGTCAAGGATGCTTCTCGATGGTCCTCGCCGAGGAAAAAACGCACACGTCCGAGCGATGCCAGGCCAATGGCTTGGCCCCCATCTGCCGAAGTCGAACAGAACGCTGCGATGGACAAACTACACATCGGCGGAGAGCTGGGTCTCTTCCATCCCTTCAGAGGCCTCCCGACTGGGGTTCCAGGGGGTGCGGCCGCAAGATCGCGCCGCATCGCCGATGCGCCGGCAATGCACCCGCGACGGCGGCGATGCATCGGCGCCGTCGGCGAGAAGGAAATCGGGCTCCACAGACAGCCGCGCCAGCGATGCATCGGCGATGCGGCGCGGTCCTCCGACCCCACCTGGGAGGAGGAGGGGGAGGAGGAGGAGGGGGCAGAGGAGGAGGAGGAGGAGGAGGAGGACGAGGAGTAAGTCCTCCGACCCAAATTACTCAGAGCTCACCCAGGAGGCCTCGATTCGCCTCCCTCCCCTCGCAGTGCCTGCCGCCGGCCCTGGCGATGGAGGGCCGAAGAGGAAGCAAACGGAGCTCTCGAACCTCTTCCCCGGGGGCGGCCACGAGCAGACGAGCGCGTTCCACTACTCGCAAAGCGACGACTCGCAAATGGCCTGGATCCGCCAGGGGGGATCTACGAGAAATTACACTGAAGCAGACGTGTCCTTTTCGGACGTTTGCGAGTAGGCACCTTGCGAGTAGTGGAACGCGCCCGGAGAAAGAGGGGGGCGTCCAAGAGGGGGGGCGCAAATCATGGCCGGCGGCATGCGTTCGGCCAAAGGGGGGGGGCAGGAACGCATTGCAATAAGAAGAGGCGCCGTGAATTCTGGGGAGGTGTCATGGCCCCCGCCATGAGCTCCCGCCCCCCTAGTCCTCATCCCCCTCTTGGCCGCCCCCGACTTCCCCGCCCCCCTTCCTGATTGCCGGGGCCCATGCTCGGGTGTTGCTGAAACGCCCCTGGCCCAAGGTGCCCACAGGATTCCCGAGGAGGCCCCCCAGGCCTCCGGAGCACCCCTCGCGAGGCCCAGGGGGCCCGAGGAACTCCAAAATGGGGGGCGCGTTTCGCAACCCCCGACTTGCTGGGGTACCTCTGGGGAACCTCTGACCCCCAGCCAGCTCCAACATCCGGGGGGGGATCTGGGCCCTTTTTCGGCAGCGACGCGCAAGGGTGACCCTGGGTAAGAGTGACCTTTGGTGCGCGGCTTTTTTGGAGGCCGCGGGGGGACCAAACTTAAGCGCGCATGACGCTTTTGTCGCATCGCGCTCGGTGATCGGGGGGCCCCTCTGGGCCCGCACCGAAGAGCACTCCGGCGAAGGGTCACTCTTACGTCTAGTCGACTTCTGAGAAGGCCTTCTCCTTTTCACTCCCCCCCGGGCGCGCCGCGGAGCCTGCCTCCCCTCCTCAGGAGGGGAGGCAGGCTCCGCGATTCGCGTGCCTCCGTCGACCGAAACCGCTAAATCAGGGCAAGCGATCGGCGACGACCGCACCGCGTTTGACGCCACCAATAAATACATGAAAAAATGCAAAAACAAATTTGTCGAGGCCCTCGTTTTGTTTCCTGGTGGGCGCAACACCTGACTCCTGTGCCTGCCGTCGGCCCCGCCCGACCGACGCCGACAGCAGCCCGGCGCGGCGAGGCAGCGCAGGCCGACCGCCGGCGCGGCGCCGCCGGCCGCTGCCCCCTTACGCTGCCTGGGACACCGGGCGCGGCCCGTCGCATGCCTCGCAGGCTGGCAGCAGCGCGCGGCTCTCGAGGGCGCACGCGGGGCACTCCTCCTGCTCCTTTTCCGCCTCCTCTTTTTCCTCCTCCTCCTCCTCCTCCTCCTCCTCCTCCTCCTCCGCGTCCAATTCCGCGCCCCCCTCCTCCATAAACTCTGATCGGGGCCTTTGTTCCTGAAGACCAACAAGACATGAACCAAACGGCGTCGGTCGACGCACGCCGGGCGTTCTGAATGAAATCGTGTCCACCACGCTCCTTGCTATACTGTTAAAAACAACAGCACACACACACACTCGGAAAACTATAACTGAACACCCCCATCCAGCTGATAAACCAAATGTGGGGGCGGGCGAGATGTCCATGGCAAAAGCGATTTGGTAACGAACAGTTCGGTGACAAGTGCGTTACAGCCAGGGCTACATCCTAGCAGGTCAAGGTGTGAAATTTGAATAATGAGAAGCAAGGCGCAAGTGGTGCAAGTAAAAGCAAATGCGATTTGGGCGTAAACGTTCAGGGGCTTCATGTCGCGCGGTGCACGAAATTCAATTGTCGCAAATCGCGTTGACGAGCGCCTGAATCTCAACTGATCCTGGACTCAAGTCTCTGGCAAAACGGCGCGCGATGATAATCTGGATACGCATTAAGCTAACATTCGGTGGCGGGCGCCAGCTTGTGTCTTCCTTACACAATATGTTTGTTGGTGCATCGCGTGTGCATAGGCATGCGGTCGCTGCTCACACACTCTGCGGAAACACTTGCAAAGTTCGAAGGGTTTCTACTTTGATCACTTTGATGTCTCCTCGTCGTGCCTTCTCTTGTAACAGAAGCTGACAAACTCCAGTGTGCCTGACTTCTCCTAGTCCCTGCCTGATGGCAATTGCAATCTCTGCGCTGGCATCGCTCTTGAACGAGATGCCACAATCAACATCGAAATATTTGAGAACTGTTGGTCGTCCAAAATCTACTGCGCCGCCTTTCACCATGCCGTGACCGTCTGTTTCTGCCAAAGAGAACGCCACCACACTCGGAGTTAAACTCCAAGGCATAAGCACATGTGGCCTCCACATTATTGTTCCTCTGCTTGTTGACTTACGCGCTTTCTTGCAACCGACAGAGTCGGTGCCAGTCCATGCGGTTAACTCCTTGGGGCCTTCTTCTGATGCCCGCACCTGTCGTGGTTGTTGAGGCACTTGCCCAGTTATGTGAGGCTCCTCGACTGAGACTTGTATATGCGAGCGGTCTTGCGCTCGATAGTTCGCCCTGGTTGGGGCTTCTCATCTCCATGTTCGCAAGAGAGCTTCTCACAGGGCATCTCGCATCTCACTTCGTACTGCTCCAGGCCTAGCTCTCCAGCCGGTATCCCAGCGCGCCTTTGATCGGGCGCATGCCATCCAGGCGTTGGGTATCCGGGTTGGCTTTATGTCTATTGGTCTGGGTCCTGATTTGCCACGGGATCTCACTTCGAATGTCTCATGCATTTCTCCCTCGAACCAGTCGAAGTCAATGCCATTGCCCAGTAAAAGTAAGATCGCCCTTCGTGTGCGGCTAGTCCGCCTTGCCATGTTTTAACGCATGTGGTGATGCTGTCCCATTGCCAAACCAAGATTACGTGCAAAAACCACGTGGCAACCTTCCGAAGCTGACTGCGTCTCGAATGCCGGGCACGGAGTTCAATCGATTTCCGCGAATGCCCGCTTCGCGATCTGCCTCGGGTAACCTGCTGAAGTTGTTCTTGCTTGCCTCGGCGTGACAATATTCCCGTCTAGCGTCTCCAAGCGCGAAGCGTGGCCCTTTCTCGCGTCCCCCGCGATTGTGTCCCATCCCTTCGGTGACAACCATCGAGAATCGCAGTTTTGGGCTTCCAATGGAAACGCGGCTGCACAGATGTTCTTTTCTGTGGAGTTGGACTTGGCTTGCTGGGCCGCAAGCCGGGATCGGTGCTCGGGATTGGCCTCGCCCTCGTTTTTTGTTGTTGATGCTTTGTTTTAGTGTTCTATTTATTTATTTATGTGTAAACAATAGTGTTATACATAACACAAAGAACAATTTATCGGCCCACCTCGTGCCGATGAGGGCATGCCCGTGGGCGATCAGCATTCCTCTTCGCTTCGTCTCTCGTGGACCTCGGGCCCCCGAAGTTGCCCCGCCCCCTCCCCCCGAGCCTCGTCGCGTGAGTTCTGGGCGGAGCTCACTTCCAGGCGCGTCATCCCGCGCCTGTGCTTTTCCATGTCCACGATGGACTACGCATATATCACCTCTGGTAACTGGCCGCGCCGCATCAACGCCCCCGCATTCCTCGCGCGCCCCTGGAACCTGTAACCGCATTTGGTTTGAGCGCGCCGCGCAGATCCTCTGGGGGGGCTGGGTGTCCGGGGTAACTCGGCAAGTGAATTTAGCGGCGATGTTGCGCGCTCTTCCTCTGCGTTCCCCCCATCCGGCCCTCTTCTCAAATCTCGCTGGCCCCCCTGTCCTCGGGTGCCTGGCTGGCGCTCGGGTCCCAGGCAACTCTGAGCAGGCGCGCGCTCCATGTTGGTCCTGCATATCCTGGAGGCGCGAGACGAGACGCGCCCTCGTCATTTCTGACCCAGAAACACGCGAGCCCATTTTTTGGTTCGTGCCTGATCTCGTTACTTCCCATTCCATCGTCTTCCTCGCTCCGCCCGACATCGGGGTCGAAGGCCCCGAAGAGGCGCTCGGTCAGCGGCCGTTCTGGTCGGCCATGTCCTCGAATATAGCTCGGAAGAATCGGTCTGGATCTGCCGCTGATCTCGCCGTTCTGCCTTCTATGGTTAGCTCGATATGTCGGCGCTGACCAAGACATATCGCGAAGGGGGGCCTTTTTCGATGCATGGGGCTGTTGGTCATGAACCGCGTGGGTTTCCGCGTAATCACCCCCCCTCCTCCCGCCGCCTGCCCCGGGTCATGGCAGCGCGCAGCGCCATCGAATGTCGACGCGCCTTCGCGCTGCGACGTTCTCTGCGCTGGCGGCGCGGTCCAGCTCGAGGCCGCCGCGGGGTTCCATCCGCGCGCGACCCGTTGCGTCTCTGGATCCCGCGCGGTTCCAGCGCGAACGCGAGGTGCTTGGTCCCGCGATCGAACATTTCCCCCACCTGGTTTGTAGGCCCCAGAAACATGTGACAGCGCATTCTGCCGCGTAACCTCGCTGCCCTCCTCGTATCATTGACCTGTCTGATCGCGCCCAGAACGGGGATGGGCGACCATTCCGCAATTTCGGCGTCAAACCCCATCGCGTTAAGCCCGGTGCGTGCATCGCCCGTGCCCGTGCCCGCATTGCCTGGCCCTGCGTCTTCATTCCCGGGATCGCTGTCGGGCCCCTCCCTGACTTCGACCCGGGTCTCGCGCCCGGCATGTCCTCGTCCTCATCCTCTTCCTCTCCGACTTCTCCTGTCCCTGTCATCATCTTCAGGTTCCTGCGCCTTCCTCGCCGCCGCCGCTAACATTGGCGGAATAACGTTCGCTGGTCGCGCGTCGTCATCCTCCAAAGAAAACGTGGAACTTAGTCCATCCTGTCCATGGCCCGCGTAACCCTCTTACGCCTATGTCTTCCCAGTCGTCGGTCATGTCCTCCATCTCACTGGGTGCCTTGCTAGATTGCGCGCGTTCGTCTTGCGTCGTCTAACTTTTATTTCTTGAGGGTTTCGCTCCATTGTCTCTAGGCGCGTGCATTTTGGTTCTTGGGTCCCAGAGTCGTAGAATGGCTGGCCCGTCTCTAAGTGCCATGTTTTCGATCAGAGGGTCCTCCCTATTCTCCATCTGGAACTCCCTTGCTTCGTCCTCATCCGAGCTGCTGCTTGTTTCTTTGATGTTCGGGTCGTTCTGTCCTCCGAGCCACTCGATCACGCGTTCTCGATTTTCCGCGCCATGAGGTTCGCAGGTGGCGGCTCCTCTGGCTATGGCTTTGCGCCCGGAGCATCCCGGAGAAGGTCGCGTGGCCGTGCGCTACTACTTCTTCACCGCGGCTCTCCAGTCCCTCAACGGCCCGGCATCTGCCGCTAAACCGCGGCGTGCAACTGCCATCGGCAATGAGATCACTCTGGTATTAACCTCTGTTCCAAGCACGTCTGGGTCTGGTTACAAGAATAAGCCTGTCGAGTTGTTAACCGCGTTCGCGTGCCACTTCTCCCCGTCGCTCCCCTCCTGCCGGAAACCGTGACATTTGACGGCGCCCTCTAGAGTGCCCGCGATGAACTCTTGGCTTGTTCCATGCATCCCCAGAAATGCACCGCGCCTCCGCCTTGATACGAGGTCTCTGCCTCATTTTGTCGGCGGGGTCCTCAATCGCATGGCGCATTCTCCAAACTCGGGCAACGGTTTGTGGAATGTCCGCCCTCGGCGCTTCTCGCGAGCTGTCTGGCCATCGGCGTCGATCGTGAATCCGTCGATGGTAGAAGGCGCAGATGCAGCGGCCAGGGTATGAGGGCATGCTTTTCACCCACAGCAATTTTGCATTTGCCGTCCAAAGCATGCTGTCATATCCCACTTCGGCATTGTACTGTTCTGATATCCCCTTCAACTTCACCATTGGCTTGGAGGTCTCCGACAGGACTAACTTCTCCTCCTGCGTCGAGGTCGCGCGAGGTTGTGCGGCTTCCTTGAGTGCTCTCATGGTTGACCCCCCATCGCAGACGAAGAATGCTGTTCTGTGGCTCCGTGCACTTGTCGCGTGCAACTCAGCTCCGGGTTCGCGTTGTACCCTTGCAGTGCAAGGCGACACTTGGGCCCCCTCTGCCCTCCGCGCTGTCTCCTCTCTCTTCGCGCTTAGCTTCGTGTAGTCGACTGAGATCACCGGCATACCTTGCCCCGGCATCCATGGAATGTTCCCGCGTAATCTCCCCCCGGCTCTTCCTTCGACGCTCCGGTGGCGCCGGCTTCGGGGGTGCAATGAGTTTTACTATGCAACTGAACTTTTGTTTGCTGAGTCTTAGATTGCGCGTGATCCGTCTAAGCGCCTCGCCTCCTCGTCTGCAACCGTGCCCTCCGCGTCGCTTCGCTCGCAGCCCCCGCTCGCGTCGCCCCCCTCCAGATTCCTGGTGGCTGGATTTCGACTGGCGCCCGCGGGCCCCCTCGGACTCAGTGGAACAAGTCTGCAGAGGGAGTTCCCTGCCCGACTTCCGCAGGAGATCTCTCATCACAAATTTCCTAGACTTTCTATCCTGGCCAGCGACGGCTTTGGGGTCGCCCGTCATTGTCCCGATTAAACGCCATGCGATCTCCTGCCCCTACCAGTCCGCGCGCAGACCCGAACGCCTTGCTGCCTTCTCCAGCGCCAGCTACTCGGATGGGCATGCTCACCGTGGGCCCCTCCTTGTTTTTGAAACGCAGGAAAACTCGTTGTCCGTGACTCCTCGTGACTGACCCATCGGCAGCGCTGTAACGATTGCCGCTCCTGGAGGCCTCCGTGGCCCTGGCGGGGAAGTTGTTTCCCATGTTCGGAGGCCCAACCTTATCGCGGGCTCCTGAGTCTACGGTGGGAACAAGTGTCTCCGTGCCGCTCTCCTGGCCCCTGCTGGTTCCTTCCATCTCCGCTGGCCGCTCGGCGCACTTTTGCGTCGTGCTCATCTCCTTCTTGATGCGCCCTGTGATCCAGTTGCCCTGATTGGTGCCGTGGCCGCAGTAAGCGCTGCGCTCGCGTGGTGCGTTTCTCGTGCTGATCCCTAACCTCGCCCCCTTGTTTCTTCTTTTTGTTTCCCTGCGCCTTGTCCTCCACTCGCCCCCCTGTCCTCCACTCCTGTGGCGCGGCGTTGCCGGGGACTCCACCTGCGTCAGTGGCCTCGCCCATTGCGACGCTGTAGCATCCCGGTCCAGGAAGGGGGCGGCCTAACGTCTGCATGGGTTCTCGCGCGCCTCTTGCCTCCCTTGGAGCTGGTGCGACCTCGTTGGCGTTCTTGGGGCAGCGGGCTGCGATGTGACCTTATTCGCAGCATTTGTAACATTTATTTTCTCTGATCGGCGCTGAGTCCTCCCTTGCCTCCTCCTCTCCACCGTGGGGACTGGCTCCCTTGGTAACCTCCTGGGGGACCCCCTTGGTGGCCTCCGTTGACGCGGACCCCCCGGCAACCATTGGTGCTTTGATCCACGTGTGTGCCCCCCTGCCTGTGCCCCTTGGTAACCCTTGGCTCCTTCGTATTCCTCTTTTTCCACTTCCTTTTCCTTTCGTGGTTCGTTCCTTTCGTGGGGCTATGCCCATCTCCTCCGCACTTGCAACGCATTGACCCATTACCTTTGCCCTGTGCTTTGCCCACCCCGCTCTTGTCGACGGTCCAAGTCTACCAATTTCAGCTGTCGTCGTAATAGCCGAAGTCGTGTGTCGTGTATGCCTGCGCCCCAGCCACCCATGTGTTCATCGTAAACCTGGCCGATCTTCATAGAATTATTGTCTTGTGTGTGTGTGTGGGCGTCCAACCTGTTCTTCCTTTCCGATAATTCGCGCATGGTGAAAAGCTCTTGGTAGGTGTCGAGATTTAACGAATCTAGCGTCTTGAGACAATGCTGTTGCCAATCGCCGAACCAATCACCAGCGTTTGTCGTGATATTCTTCAACGCAGGAATCCTGCATGGTAGCGGTAACGAATATGCAGATCCGCACTTTTCCAGGGACTCTATCGATGCACTCAATTGCTCAAGCTGGGTCGCACCATCGCTTACCTTCTTTGGTTCTTCTAACTGCATGGCCAGGTGGATCTTGTGGGAAAGCGTGACTCCGGCAACGGCATAATTACATGTATATATATATATTGGCATGCCTTTCGGCCGTCGCATTTTATGTAAGTCCTTTCATTTTCCGAACGGCCCCGTCCTCTCCGGCTTGGCGTAGTCGTCATCATTCATCTCACATTGCCCTTTTGCGTCATCATCTTGCTTCTTGATGTGCGGCGTATCCGCTTAGAGTGCACCTGCCGTTCATCATCTTGATCAAGTCATCCTGTTCGTCGCCTCGTAGCGCTCTATCCGTGGTTTCGAAGTTGTTGTTCAACTGCTACAACGTTTTCCGATAACCGTGCTTCAGCTGGGCGGGGCGTTCAACAACTTCTCGCTCCATTCCCTTACGAGCTTCCTCCATTTCCATTCAACAACTTCAGCGATCTTGGTAACATGCTCAGAGGCGTTCGCTTGGCGTTAGAATTGTGTCCGGCCGTGTCCTTTCAAGTTGTTGAGCTGTTCCTCGCAATGTATGCTGCGGTTGATGACTGATCTCAAGAGCGCATTCACGTGGGGCTCATCCGCAACATGGTGGCTCCTTCGTGTCATTGTCAACCTTCATGGTGCCTAACGTAACGCTGCGCTCGAAGAGCAACCTCATCCATTCATGTTTGGCTTTGAGCGCTGTGCCAACATACCTGACATCTCCGTTTTCGCAATTGGCATCGCAAATCTCCGCGAATCGTACCGTGCTCAGAGTGTACCAGTTCCCTCTCGGGCATCGGGTCACGTCACATCGAAACCTGGGTCAACTGTACCAAGATTCGGCGGGGCCGTCGCGGCTGCCGCCGCGGCCATCGCAGGAAACCGAGTGATTCGCGGTGTTAGCCGCGCGCACTGGAATCCGTGAAGCGAACCACTGGCTACGCTACCATGAACATGCGATCGGATTTTTCTGGGAGGCGAACACCACATGAGCCAAACGGCGTTGGTCGACGCACGCTGGGCCGTCCTAGCCAATCGTGTCCGCTACGCTCCCTGCTATACTGCATGTACAATCTGCTCACCCAGTCGGAACGCTATTATCTATCACCACCTCCTCCTCCTCCTCCTCCTCCTCCTCCTCCTCCTCCTCCTCCTCCCCCTCCCCCTCCCCCCGCCCCCCTCTCCTCCCCCTCCTTCGCCTCCAGCGCCTCCTCCTCCTCCTCCTCCTCTTCCTCCTCCTCTTCCGCCTTCTCCTCCTCTTCCTCCTCCTCTTCCGCCTTCTCCTCCTCCTCCGCCTGCTCCTCCTCCCCCGCTGGCCTCTGCCCCTACGCTCCCTGGGGCACTGGGCGCGCTCCGTCGCACGCCTCGCAGGCGGGCAGCAGCGTGCTGTTCTCGAGGGTGCACAGGGGGCACACCCACGTCTCGCCCTCGTCCGGCGAGCAGCCACCACCCCAGACCCCCACGGGTCACTCAGAATCATGACAGGAAATTTTCGCCATTTTTGGCTTACTGGGCCTTTACCTGGCCTCGGGGCCGTCAAATAACACCTCAGGATAGGAAACCGGTCCCAGGGAGTGGGTGCAGACCTCTTGGGGGTCGACGTCAAGAAATAATCATGACGTCGGGGTTGGGACTGGGGGAGCTGTGGTCCTTTAGCCCCCCAGGGGTAGCCCCCCCGCATTGGCGATCTCTCGAGAAGGGAGTTGAAGCCGATGTTCCATTCCCCGTGCAATGTTTGGTCTCGTGTGCGCCTTCCTTAAGATGATCTCAGATGCTCCAAGATGGCTCAGATTTGCTGGCGCTGACCAAGCCGAAAAATGCACACGGCCGAGCGATGCCAAGCCCCAGGGGGATGTCAAGGGGCCGCAGCTCCCCCAGCTCTGGCTGCTCTGCCTCGGCGTCGACCGCGCCGCCCTCCGCGGCCCCTCGAGCGCCGATGCCACCGCTGAGCTCCGCGGGCAATGCCCCGCCCTGGCTGCCATCCTGGGCGGCGATGGCGGCAGCGGCAGCAGTGCTCGCGCCGGCGGGAGAGGCGGCGTTGGAGGGCGGAAGCGGCAGCGTACCTTCGGGTCCCCCAAAACCGCGTGGTGACCTCGGAATCCCCAACGACCTCACTGCGCGGTCTTGGGACCCTGGAGGCCCCAATCGCCTGGGACGTCCTCCGAGAACGACCAGTGTCCCAAAACCGTGCGGTGGCCCCGAATCTCCACTGATCTTGGAGGCGGTCAAGGGGTATGAACTGGCTGGGGTCTCGAAAGATCGTCCAGGAGGGGGGGATGAGGCCAAATCCGGTCAAAATCGGTCCCTGGACCCCTCCCAGGGTCCATCTGGTGTAATTTTTCACCTCGGATCAATGTTTCACGGTCTCTGGGCCCGAAAACGGCCCCTGGCGGCCGAACCATCTTGAAACCTTTCTGAACCTAGAGCTGAGCACTGACCCTCCGCTGCGCGCGGTGTGTCATCGCACCGTTTGGGGGGCCCTCGAGCGTGCCGCTCTGACTCGAGGCCGCGTCGCCGGACGGCGCCCTGGACTCCGAGCGCGGCGCGGCGGGTGCTCCGAGTGCCGCAGCCACGGCCGGTTCACGGTGCTCCCCGGGCTCGCCCAGACCTGGCCGCGCACCCCCATTTCGGGGAGACGTAAGACCCGGCCGGGTACGGGGGACTCGGAAATCCCCGACGAGGTCGTCAAAAAAATGACGAGGCCGAGCCTGCATTTTGACGAGGCCTCCCGCTGCAGACATCCCACAAAACGCCTCCTCGTCAAAATCCGAGTCGCGGTCGTCAAAAAACGATGGCGAACCCGAGTCCCGGCAAACCCGGGTCTTACGCTCCCCCGACCATTGTTGGCCTCCGTCGAGGCCGCGCTGCCCAGCGAGTCGGCTGCCGCGTCGCCGCCTTCGCGGCACCCCGCCGCGGCCGTCGCGCCGTCGCTGCTCGGCCGGGGCGTTGCGGCAGGGCTGCTCGGCGGGGCCTCCCCCGCGCCGCCCAGCGAGGCTTCCTCCGCGCGGCGCGGCGGGGGCGCCACGGCGGTGGGCCCCACGTTGGTGACGAGGGCGGGCGCCTGCTCGGGGTGCATCGGGGGCGCCGCGGTGGTCGCCGCGGTGGTCGCCGTCGCGTAGTGCGTCGTGCCCAACGGCGGGGCCCGTGTCGCTGAGTGCAGCATGGCAGGCGCTGGGCTCACACAGACGGCATCACGGGCGCCTGTGGTGACGTCATGCGTCGCGACGGGCTCGGCCGCCGCCGCCTGGCCCTGATGCGACTCGTCCCACTCGGTCTGTGTGCCGAGGCAAGCAACCGGCACGGCATGCGCTGGGGCCGCCGTGCCGTCCGCCACAAGGGCCTTTCCGACTAGCCACCTCCAGGGGAGCTGTGCTTTTTTATACCCTCCCTGGGGGAGCCAATCGCTCTGACGATCTCTCGAGAGGGATGTCGAAGCCGACGGGTCCCCCAGGGGGGCAGGGAGCACAGTTCCTCCAGCTGTGACTTGCCTGCGACGACCGCGGCCAGAATCGTATCAAAATCGGTCCCCAGAATCCTTCCTGGCGGGGTCAATCCTTGGTAAAGCCTCATCCCGAACCGACTTCTCACTGACGGCCCCAGGGCCCGAAGCGCGTCCCCAAAGGCCGAAAGTGGAGAAGAACCTCTTCGAAACTGGATCGATCGTCTGCCCCGCCTTTGCGGAGGCGTGCATCCCGTCCAACTTGTCGATGAGGGCCTCAAGTCGCTCCACCTCCTCGCCCCAGCTCGACTGCGCCGGTGCCTGCGCCGGCGGCGCGACTGCCGCCTCCAGCAATCGCATAACCTCGTCCGTCTCGCGCGAGATGGCGACGTGCACCTCACGAGCGACGATGAATTTTGATGATTCTAACATTTCGGGTGACGGTCGTTACCCAGGGGGGAGCTTGGGGCCCTGGGTAACAGTAACGCTTGGGCCTGTCAGGGCACGTCGGGGCGGGGGTGCGCTGCGATCGCCAAAAGTTCGCGCGCGAGCACAGCACGTGTGTGGGGTGGGTTCCAGTCCCCCTCTACGTACGATCGTCACTGCTACCCCGTGTGTGTGTGTGGTCCGCTCGGGGACTTTCTCCGCCTCATCGCTGCGCGCGAGGCCGCGACCGCCAAAAGTGTATGTGTGTGTGTGTGTGTGTTTGTGTGCGTGTGCGCGTGTACGCGTGTGTATATGTGTGTGGGTCGCGGCCGAGGAGCCCGCGCTGCGAGGCCGTGGATGTGGGTGTATATGTGTGTGTGTGTGTGTTTGTGTGTGTTCCCGCCCGCGAACACCCTCTTGAGGTCACTCTCGATCTGGCAGTCGACTTCAGACTGAAGGTCCGCCAGGCACTTCAGCTCGCGCTGCTTGCAGCGGACTATGTCCCTTTGCAGCATGATGGAGTGCGGATGCATGCGCGAGCCGCGCAGCCTGAGCAGGCCTTCCGCGATCTCGTCGAACGACAGGTCCCCCTTCTTGGATTCGTCGATGATCTCGAACATCTGGCGCCCCTCCAGGTCGGGGAGGATGTCCATCTGCTTGAACAGAGCCTTCGTGGTGTCCAGCTCGACCATTGCGCAGAACTCCTCGCAGTTCATCAAGGAGCTGTCATCTCTGTCGGCCTCGACGAAGATCGGGCGGAGCGCCTCGCGGGCCTCCTCGCACGCCTTCTGGTAGCACTCCAACTTTCTTGTCGGGTTTTCGTTATCATCATCGTCATCCGAGGTGGATGCCGCTACCAACAACTTTTCGCAGATGACTCCTGTGACCAAATTCATGAGGGCGAAGCTTGACAGGCAGACGAAAACGATGAAGTACACTGCCCACATGGGTTCTCCAGTTGCCTCCATCGTGTCGTCGGAAATATCTGGCCAAGCCTCGAGCGTCGCCAGCATGAAGTGCGTGAAGAGCCCGTACCCGACGGAGCCGAAGTACTGGTGCAGCTCTGGCACCTTGCCCAGCAAGATTACGCACAGAAGCGTGCCCAGGTAGATCAGCATCAGCAGCAGAACCATGGACCAGAAGACGGCGGACAGTGATCCAACAAGGCCCATGAACAGCAGCTTGAGCTCCCTGCAGACGGAGATGGCGCGAATGATGCGCACAAGCCGCAGGAGCCGAAACAGCCGCATCGGGATCGCGGTCGCCACGATCGAATCAATCCCGGTGGCCTTGAAGATCACCTCCAGGGCGCCCAAGAACACGATGATCGTGTCAAACGCACCAATCTTGGTGATGCAGTATCGCCATGAGTCCACCCTGATGCGCAGCGCCAATTCGACTATGAAGGCCAGCACGAAGAGACCCTGAAACACCTCCAGGAACACCGCCAGGCCAGCGGAGACGTGATAAGGCACCACCTGGATCTGCACGTCGACGCCTGTGAGGATGGCGTACGCGAGTATCAGGACGCCGAAGAAGAGGTCCGCCTGGGTCGTCTTGATCCACGGCACCTCCTTGTCCTTGTCCCTGTAGCTCTCCTGCAACTGCCTCAGCCTCTGCAAGACCACGGAGCCGCTCTCCAATCTTCTGTTCTGCGCCTCGGTGCCGATCCACTTGCCGGGCGTGCCGACGAGGAAATCGCTCCCCAAAGACCCAAAAGACCTTGGCACGAATGAATGAAGGGGCCCCAGGACACACAAATAAATACACACAAATAAACACATTCCCCATATTTCCCCATATTTTCCAGGTTTCTGTCTTCCCCCCCCCACTTCCCATCTTTTCCCATCTTTTCCTGGGGATCGACGATTCATTGTGTCTGTGTGCTTTCTCCCCTCCTGAGTGAAAGGCATCCTGGTGGAAGCGGATCCTGAACCCCGCGGAGTTTCGTTTTTTCCTCAAAATCACTCTCTCATCCTGAACCGTTTTTTTATTGTCCAGGGGCTCTGGGAGGGCCCCGGGAGTCCGGAAACGGAGGACACAAAAACAGGAGGAGCCCTTTCCTCAGGACCCCTTCCCGACTTTCGGGAAACCCTGGTCCGCCCGGTCGAGTAACGGTTTCGCCTAAGACTTCCTGGCTCTGGGAGGGGCCCCGAGAGTCCGGAAACGGAGAAAAAAACCAGGAGCCCTTTCCTCAGGATCCCTTCCCAACTTTCCGGAAACCCTGGTCCGCCCGGTCGAGTAACGGTTTCGCCTGAGACTCCCTGGCTGGTTATTCAAGAATCGAGCTCCCACCTCGAGGCCAAGTACATTTTTGGTCGGGGGGGTAGTATAATGTCGGGGCCCACCAAAGGGGGGGCGGACCCTGAGGGGGGGGGACGAGTTCGATCCGCTGGTGCATCGAATTTCCGAAAAACGATGCCCCCACGCGCGCTCCGATTACTGACGCCTCTGAGGGCTCCGGCGGCGGCCGGAGACCTCGCTTGGCATCGTTTTTCTGCGGCTCGATGCGCCAACGGTTGGCGGCGCGCACAAAGGGATGGAGGGATGGACGAGGGCTCCTTAGAAGGAGCCTGCTTCCTAGAAGGCGCCGGCCTTGCATCTATAGAGAAGGCCCGCGCCTTCTAAGAAGCAGGGGTGCTTCTGAGAAGCCCTCCCCACTCCCCCCACCCCTCTCTGAGCGTGGCGGAAACGAACCGAACTCACCCTTCCCCTGAGGAGGAGGAGGAGGAGGAGGGGGAGGAGGAGGAGGAGGAGGGGAGGAGGAGGAGGAGGAGGAGGAGAAGGGGGGGGAGGAGGGGGAGGAGGAGGAGGAGGGGGAGGAGGAGGAGGGGGAGGAGGAGGAGGAGGAGGAGGAGGTCAGCTCTGTACACGGCGTCTTCGCCTCGGCGGCTGTCGGCGTCTGCGGCCCTCTCTTCCGCCCGCGGGGCCCAGAGGCCCCGTCCCGCCCTTCCCCGGGGTCCCCACGGACACCCTGTCGTCCCCGGTGCGCTTGTGCTGGCCCCAAGGCTTACAGTCGGCCTTGCTTGGACAGGACACGCGAGAGGACACAGAACCCTTCCGACCGAGGGCCACATCGCCATAGGGGTGCGAGAAGGCACGTGTCGCGAGGCACAGGACACAAGGGTACCCTTGAGCTGGCAGGGCCGACCTACTAATCTGGGCCGACTGTATGTTGCTCCCATCGTACTCAAGGACCACATCCCAGAAACAGGTTCGAGCACCCGTGGAAGTGTTGAAAGAGTGTCGAAACAGTGTCGAAACGGTGTCGGGCGAGTGTCTCCCAGGGCCCGACACATGGAAACCCTCGAGTTTCGGTATTTTTGTCTGGTGCTCGAAATTCTGTCTGGTGATCAAGGCTAAAGTAGGTTGGAACATCATAACCCAAGATCCGAAAACTGCCCCTGGAATCCAGACTGTGGACAAAACGCCGGGGTGAAAATTCAATTGGGGAAACCACAAGGTACCAATACCACTATTCCCCGGACCTCTCCCGTGGTGCGTTCTGACTAGAATTTCGCGGCGAATCCAGCGATGGCGACGATGACCTCCCAGGAGGCTCAAAAAGGGGAAAACGAGGGATGGGTAGCGGTATGGGTACGTTTTCCTCCTCCGAGAAATCTGGGATTCCTTCGTGCCGAATAGCCTCAGCGAGCCGACGCTGCCGCCGGTGTCGTTGGAGCTCTCGGAGGAGCCCTGCAAGCGGCCAGCAGCGACGAGCGCCTCCTGCTCCTCCTGGGAAGGACGCTATTTATACTGAGCATCATTGATTCGACCCCTATCCCCTATCCCCAACGGCGTGGGGTGGGCCCCATTGGCCGATTAACCCCGGTAGATGGGGATATAGGCCGTTTCCTCCGGGTGTTGAGGGGTATCTGTCCCCAACTGGGGGGTTGAGAGATGGTGGGGGTCTGGATGGGGATGGGGATGGGAGTATGAGTCGGTTGAACGATACTGAGCTACACCAGCTCGGGCGGACCGATCAAATACGCCCCTTCGCCTAACTAGGACGGCGTGCGCACCGATGCTGGTCCGCAAGACAGGCCTGGGCACGATCGGCGTCGGGGCAATACCCGGGCATCCGATGCGCGTCTGGATTTTTCCCATGCGGGGTCCCCGGAGGCCCCGGCCCTTCCCCTGCAGGGCTGGTTTTGCCTTGTCTGTGTGTTCGAGTGAAGGGCTTTTGTCTTTGTTTTGTTTCGTTATGTTGCCTTTGCTTTTTTTTTTTTTTTTGTTTTTCCCCCCTGCAGGGCTTCCCCTGAAGCGCTGACTCCCAGGCAGCAGGCGGGGGCCGAACGAGGCCCTACAGCTACGAGCGAGCGGGCGCCACGGACAAACACCACGGCGGGGGGACCGCGACTGCAGGGCCGGCTTGAGCCCTGCTGCTTCGGAGACGCACTTTTGGACGCCCGAAATGGGTACGGAAAGAATGGGTACAATGCCCAACAACAAATGCTGTCCCAAACCGACAGCGGCCGCTGTTGGGCGGGCGGCCTTCTGCCTCGAATGGGCACAGGCCGCGGCGGCATGGACAGCGAGTCCTGTCCAAAATGAGCCAGATCCGCTGTTGGGCATTGTACCCATTCTTTCCGTGCCCATTTCGTTCGTGCAGTGCTGAAGGGGCCCCAGGACACACAAATAAATACACACAAATAAAAGGATCCCCCATATTTTCCCATATTTTCTGGGTTTCTGTCTTCCCCCCCACTTCCAATATTTTCCCATATTTTCTGGGAAATCGCCGATTAATTGTGTCTGTGTGTTTTTTCCTCTCCTGAAGAGCACTGGTCCGGGCCGGCCAGGGCCCCGTCGCGAAGCCGGTCCGGCCACGCAGCAGCTCGCAAGCCCCCCGGGGGGCCGGCAGGGGGGGCGGAGTGGGAAGCGGCCCCCCCCGGGGGGTCGGCCTGAGGACATGGGCTGACCCCCCTTGGGATGCGCAACTGCTGGGAGGTCTTCGTCGGAGAGACTATTAAGGAAGATTGAGCCCCAAATTGGGGGGATCTTGTGCCCCAGCGGGCCGCGGATCAAGCGGGACTAAGCCGGACTCAGCGGGATCGAGCGGGATCAAACTGGATTGGATTGAGCGGGATCCAGCCGGATTAACCTGGATTTCGGACCAGGGCAAAATCAGAATCTGACCTCCCAGGAGTTGCATCCGAACACCGGGTAGCGCTGACCCCCGATCTGTCCTTGCCTGGGGGCCTGGGGAAAGCTCCGGGGAACCGACGACTGGCAACAGCATGCCGTCGTGACCCGAGGGCGACGCGGGACGTCGGGTCATAACTCGGTTCTCCAGCGCCGTTCAAGACGATCTGGCACCCCCAGGACGCCCTCGACGGAGCGCAGCCGCTGGAACGCATCTCGCGGCTGGAAAGCCGCCGAGGACAATCGAACACGGCAGAAAACTCAAAAAATTCGGACCTCGAAGCACATGGGAACCGACACGAGCATGCCTGGGGCCATCCTCGAGCTGAAATTTTTAACGGCGGCATGGGAGCAGTGTGCAAGACTGCAGCAGCCAATAATTCATTCATGGACTCACCACGCGTTGAGCGGAGGGCCACCTCGGATGACACCAACACCTCACCCGACACATGACTGCGGTCGGAAGATCAGATGCAAGGAGAGCTCGTCGCTACAATGCCCCCGCGGCGGGGGGGTCTGCCTCGTACCCTGGCGGCCGTGCGTCACGACGGTGCCGCTCGCCTTCGCGGGCGGTCATGCGCTGAAGCGGCGGGAGGCCCTAAATCTCTCGGCGGTGTCACGGGCCCAATCTTGCACCCTGAATGCTTACTCTCTTTACGTATGGTCTATTCGAAAGTAAAAATAACAACTGATGTAGCATTGCCCCTGCCTGCTGGACTTGCTGAAGGCGGGGGGTGAATCAGAGAGCTTGGTTCGGTGAGGCAGGCGGGGAGGAAGGAGAGGGAAGTCCACTACGGTGCAGAGGTACAACAGAACGAATACCGTGGCAAGATCATACGAATACGAATTCGGCGGCCTCCGCGTCTGTGGTGATGTCCTGGGCATCATCCGCATCATCAGCGCGAGGCTCGCATTCGGGATCTGGTACTGCCACGAGAGCTGGTGTCTGTGCTGTCGTCGAAGCTAGGATCGTCGCGCCACGCGTAAACACTATGTGGCGGTCTCCCGAAAATAATCCAGCCAAATCAGAATCCCCCCTCTAGCCAACCTGATGGGGCGGGGCCCACGTGGTACTGGGATCGGCCCTTGAGTCCTGGGGCCGTCGATCACTCACCTGCGGTCTGGGCGATACTTCGCGCCCATCGCCAACTTGGCGACGTTCGGGCAGTGAGTCCTCTACCCTGATGGCCGAGTTTTCCTGGCAACAAGTCGATGTCGATCGTCAGTTCCGCGGCGGTGCCCGCTGGCTGGCGCTCCTCGACGTGTCGCGCGGTCTGGGCGCGGGCCATTTTTCCGGCCTCGCGCGCGGCAAGGCCCTCGAGCATCGACGGGGCCAAGGCGGAGGTCGGATGCCCCAGGTTCTTGAGCGCCCCCTTGCTCGCTTCTGCGCGGTAGCGTCTGGTCCTCGTCGCGAAGCCCTCCAGCTCGTCGGAGATGTGGGCGAGGAGCCGGCGGCTGACGTCCACTGTCCCTGCGCCCGCCGCTCAGCACATGGTCATCCGAATAGTGTGGGTGCGTATTTTGTTGCGTCAAGGTCATCTGAGCCGTGCGAACCGTCTGCGTAATCCTGTCTTTGTTTGTCCAGGACTTGTTCGCGTTGCCCTCGGTGAGCTCGTCGGCCTGCTCGGCGACGTGCGCGTCGAGGCTCGCCTTGCACCTCTTCGGTTTCCGCTGCCGCAATTGGCTAATCTTGGCTGCGGTGTTCTCCTTCTGGGAGGGGACTAACCGCTGCCTGATCCTCGCTCTCGGTGCTGTCTTCCGTCGCTGTGCTGGTGGCTCGCTGTCCTTGCCATCGTTGGTCGGGGGCGGTGGCGGGCCTCTCCGCGCTGCTCCGTCTTTCGGTGCCGGTGCCGATGCCTCCGCTTCGTCCGCCAACCTCGCGCGCTGCGAGCTGTCGCGCCGCCTCGTCACGGCGAGCGCCGCCGATGGAGGAGCCCTTGCTGCCGAACGCGTGGTAATCCCAAGCTCCATTTTTTCAGTGCGCTCGCGGTTGGCGACCTTCGGGCGCGCGATGCGCTGGCGGCTCAAGCGATGCCCAGCCATAGATCAGCAGCAAGTCGCTCTTAGCGTCGACGGCGTGCTGTATCTTCTGGCTTTCGGGCTGGCGCTGATAGGTAGGTGGCGCCAGCCGCTCAGCCACCCGTTCAGAGCGCGGTGGGATCTTGTGCCAGGGGCCACCCGGCGACGGCAGGATGCGCGCGTTCGCACATGTTCGCCAGGCTTCATAATGACCTCGTTGGCAGTCAGAGGGCGCCCAATCAATGCGGGCAGCGCCCACGCGCGCGCGCGGCGCGCGGTCGATCCGTCTTTGTTGACAGGGTCGGCTCTGATGGCGTTGGCAATAGCGAACGGAACCATGCACTTCTCACGTGCCAGGCGCGCGTCGTCGATAGTGATTGTAGATGATAGAAACGGCGCGGCATGTCCTGAGAGCGCCGCGCATGTCAGGTGCCGGACGCTCGCGGAACTGCTCGGCGCGCCCCGATGTTGCAAACAAGCGAAATGGGGTCTTCAGGGTGGCTGTCGGGGTCCCCCAGAGGCCCATTCGATGGCCTGCGCTGTAAGTGTTCTGGCGGGGCCCAAGACTGCCATGCGTGAGCATGCCGAAGTTCGCCAAGTTCCATCTTCTGGAATGCCTCCAGCACTTCTGGACTCGCGAATAGCTCTAGGATGCTTCCACACATGTCTCAGATCTCGTTTAGGTGGTTGGCGATGGGAGCTGCAGAGGCACTCTGGAGGTCGATGGGGGCGGCATTGGGGGTCCAATTGGCCGGCGCCGTGGGGGCATGCGCGGGGTGGCTTTGATCTTCGACTTGATCATCAATCTGGCAGCGTCCAAAGAATCCAGCAGCACGTTGGTAATGATGCTTCTTTGCTTGGGGTCTGCAACCGCATGGGTCCTTTAGCGCGCGCGTCCAAAGATGTCGGGGCGATGCTCCAGGCGATGACTGACTCTTGTGTCGTAAGTGACGAGTAACCACCGTCGGCGTAGATCGATCGTGCTTCCCGGGGTGACATTCGACGCGTACTTTTGCGCAGCAGTCAAATCAATGTGGACATTTTCTGTTCGCGCGAGGGCCGGTGACTACAGGCCCGACCGCGCTCGGCTTGCAATGTCCACGGGGAAGACGATCTCTCGCAACGTCTGGGCGCGGACAACGTCCAAAAATCGGTCAGCCATGTCCAGCCGAAGGGCTCCCGGGAATTGCGTTTGTCCATGTGATCGTTGAGGCGCAATTCAATGATGCAGGCGCCGCTGAGCTCATATCTGGATTTTTTCGTGGCGGCGCCGGTGGGCAGATGGGCCAGTGCCATTCTTGAGCGCGGCCACCTTTCTTGAGCTCGGAGTTGGGGATGGGCGCGCCGACGCAACCTATAGGCGTCGCCTGGCGCGGCGCGCCGTCGGGAAAGATGGATATGCGAAAGATGTCGTGGGCGAAAGTGCCCATGCAGGTAATGGGGTCACCAGCGCTAGGGTTGAATGCTGTCATGCCGCCGCCGAGGATGTCGGTGGGCCCCTGGCCCCGCTCGCCAATGAGCGGGTGGGGCGATTCCATCCATGGGTCTGGCTCGTAGACGTCGCCCACGTGGCCTCCGCTCTGAAGGCTTAGTCCCAAGATGACGTCGCTGAGTCGATGCGCGCTTGGCTTCCTCGCGGGGTCGCGACGACATGTATTCGCAACGCTGGTCGTCGGTGCCGGCGCGGTGGGCGGCGAGCGGTCGCTCCATAAAGCCAGAGCCGAAGGCGTTCCTCGCGTCGTAGCTCTTGACAGGGTAGGTAGCGCGGGCCATGCGGAGCCTGTGGATTGCGCTTCGCGTCTGCGGGCGCGGGCGCAGGGCGGCGGATTGCGCGCGCCGCCGGAACCGACCAATCCGCCGCGGACGTAGAGCCGCCAGAAGGGGAAGCAGGCGTGCAACATTGAACTGGATCGCCGCGTGTTTCTGTACCCATTTTCCTGGTGGCCACTTTCTGAATAGTGTGTGATTGAGCCGTGAGTTCGGCTGAATCACAGACGCGCGCAAGCGCGTGCATGGACACCAGCGTGGGCGCCTGGCAACGATGGTCACCGAGGTTGAGCCGTCGTTGATCAATCAAGTCTCCGGGCATGGCGGCAGATTCCTCCAACTTCATCGTCGTCTCCATCGTCTCGCGCCGCGTGTCCTCGTAGTGGGTCGGGGCGCATCCGAGCCTGCTGCGTGGTCATCCAGGCCGGCCAAGGTAATTCGGTGGACCATGACCAGGTCGGCGAATATTTCAAATGCTGGTTGGTCCAGAGGAGTTTGGCCATAGCGTCGACATCCTCCGCTGCCAATGTACGAGATTCTCGCGCGGGGTCCACTCTGAACTCGCCGGTGAAATGAGCGGCTCTAGGTCGCATGTCTGTCGGAAGGCCAAGGGGCCGCGCTTCCTGGGGCCGGCGTGTGCGCCTGCTCGACATCGGCCGGAAAGATCGCGCGCGTGACCGGCGTCCGCAAGCTGTCCGTCTAGAGAGTAGTTCGGCTAGGCACTCTTCATTTTGCCATGTTCGCGCCATTTGCGTGAAATTTATTTGAAATCAACCATGCCTCGTGCGTGCACTTGAACTCGTTCGCGCAATAGGTACCGGCGTCTTTTTTTCTGCGCCGCTTTGAGCCATTCAACGCGGCCTCCGTGTCGCGAGTAGTATGGTAGAGCGGCGCGGCGTAGGTAGGCGGCGAGGGCGGCGCGTCGGTCAGGGACTTGATCATGCTGTAGTGCTCATATATTATGTCGACCAGTCTGCAGTACATTGTATAAGTATCGGGTCTCGCCGCGATGCGTGTCTAGTCCCATCTTGGAGAATGATTTGTTGGCGCTGCGGTCGGGCAGGCAGCCTTGATACGAGTCATCGTTGGACTGTGGGGATGTGGTCTTTCATGTGAGGTAATGCCCGTAGTCTTCGATGCAATCTCGAGCACAACTTCAGTTTAGTCACGATGCGGGCGGCATCCGTCGGGCCGAGCCAATCGCCGATTCGATTCTGATCGCCGCCGTCCTGGAACAGAAAGAAACGGCGCCCGTGTTCCAAAACGTGTCGAACGCTGTTGAACGTGTATGGCTGCACCCACGGTTGTTTCTGGAACCGCTTTTTGTGGTCCGACGTTGCCGTCTGTACGCAATGCCGGATGCCGTCTGCCGAGTCCCTGATTCAGGTCGCCAAAGAATAAATCTATTTTGCGTGGCGAGCATGAGTTGATTTCTGTACGTATCCACTGCCAAATTACACTGATCCTCCACGTCCTTGGGAGCCGTGTGGGCGGGGACGCAATACATATCATGTGGCGAAGATGAAAATGTAAAGATTGTTGACGGACATCCGCATGCTGATGCCCTGAATGGTGAACGTCCCCCGCCCCAATGTACCCAAAACATGGTGTCGAGTCTTCTCGACTGTGTGATCGGTTGGCGATGTGTCGGACATGCGTCGCAGGGAAGAGTCGGCCAGATTGCTATGAGCAAGCGTATCCGATGGCCTCCGTTCCACCCGATGAACTTGACGATCTCGGTGGGGACGTGGGTGTCCCTGGGCACGCTGTCCTGCTGCCGCTGCCCTCCTGCGATCTGGTCTCCTCGCCGTTGCCCGTGCGCTGCGCCTCCCCCGCGGCGCACATGGAGCGTCCGGCCACGGGTTGGCACCACGGGTCAGCACCATGGCGAGCGAAGGCGGGTAGGAAGTGGGAGGCCTCTTCCCACGCGGGGTTCGAGCCGCCGATGGCCTGAAGGCTACCATCTCGTCCTGGATCAGTTCTTCATGCTTTCGGGGTTGGATTTGCGGGCCTGGAGGCAGACATCGAGGAACTGCGCCCAGATTGAGAATGCAACAGGAAACATACCCCCGAACACGGCCAAACAAAAAACTCCTGTCGTGATGTTTTCATGCGGCGGCGAGCCCAGGGAGGAAGTGAGAAAGGGGCGAACCTCGTTTTCAGAAGGCCTTCTAATAGAAATCTTCTGAGCCTTCTCCGAAGGCGCAGGGGACTTCTCAGAAGGCTGGATGCTTTTGAGAAGTCCCGCCCCCTTCTGAGAAAGCCTCCTCCTTCTCACTTCCCCCACACGCTCGCCGCCGCATCTGGTTTCGGGGTCATAACTCAGGTCTCCGAGGGCCGTTTGCGACGATCCGGCCCCCCCCGGAACGCCCTCGGCGAGGCGCAGCTGCTGTCAAGCATCCCGAGGCTGGGGAACCGCCGAGGACCGACGAAAACGCCCGAAAACCTCGAACCTGGAGCCTCGAATCCGAAACTTCCCCTCCTCCCTCCCCCTCGCCCGCCGCCGAAACAACCCTCCCGTTGTCTTCCTCCCGCGGCGCCACGCGGGCGCCGTCTGCCGACGGCTCGGCCGCCGCCACCGCGGCTCCGGCGCCGGCCCCGCCGCTGCGATCCTTGTGGGCGTGAGTCGAGGGCTGCATGGTGGCAACGACGACGCCGACGACAAGGGCGACAACGACGACGACGACGACGACGGCGACGACGACGACGCCGACGATGACGTCGACGTCGACGACGACGACGACGGTGGCGGCGGCGACGGCGACGGCGACGGCGACGGCGGCGACGGCGACCGCCGCTCGGAGGCCCCGGGAGCGAGGCCCGAAGGCCCAGAGGCCCACTGGCGGCAGCCCAGAGGCCCGCCGACGGCCTTCGCAGGCCCCCGGAGGCCCGAGCGCGTCGGCGGCGGCGGCGACGAGGGGGCCCCCGTGTAGCCGACGGAGCCCCCGTGGAGTCGACGGAGAGGAGGAGGGGGGGGAGGAGGAGGAGGGGGAGGAGGAGGAGGAGGAGGAGGAGCACGAGGAGGAGGAGGAGGAGGAGGAGGAGGAGGAGGAGGAGGAGGAGGAGGAGCAAGGGGAGGAGGAGGAGGAGGAGGAGCAGACAGCGGCGGCGGCGACCCACGGCGGCAAAGCTCTCCTCATCCTGCCGTCGTCTCACAGCCAAGACGCTGCGGAGGCCACTCTGGGCGCAAGGGCGGCTTGGGCTTCCGGCCCGCGCCGTCGCTCGGACGCCCGAATTGTCTGGGCGAGCTCGGGTCTGGGTCGCCGACGCACGAACCAAGAATTAGCTACCCCTGACCGCCCCCCGCCCCGATGATTCGGGAATAGTGCTTGCACGCCCGCGTGATCTGGGATAACTCTGGTCCAGGGCAACACCTGTTTGGGACCCCGAGGCACGAAACAGCACTTACCCCTGACCCCACCAACTCTGATGCTTCGGGGCTTTGATCCCACAAGCCCTTTCGGGCGAAGGTGGTCTAGGGTGTTTTGTCTTCCATCTGCCCCTCTTACCCTTAGGGGAGGGGTTTCTCATTGCTCCCTATGAATATACCCCCCCTCCCTCATCCGGCCGGCGGCCAACCGGGAACCATGCCGACCCCATGCGGGCCCCCCCCCACCATCCCTGTCAAAGAACAATGCAAAACGCACTCTGCCTCCACATTTGGAGCATGCGCGGCCAACCCGATGCGCTCTCCCCCCCACCGACCCTGTCAGAAAAACAATACGAAGTACAATTTTGGGCAAAGTCTTCAGTCATGTGCGTGAGGCCCGCCAGCACTTTGTACGGCGGGGGTGTCAGCATATTCCCTGCTGTGCGCAGGGCTACCATCGCTGACCCAAAAAACAATACAAAATGCACCTCGCGGATGAATCTGGATCATGCGCGGCCACCCCGCGATCACTGTCGAGTGGTTTTTAACAGGTACGGCGGGGGTGGTGGCGCGTGGCCTGCTGTTTGCAGGCCCACCAGACACAAGGATGGGTATTGGTTTTCGATAAAGTTTTTTGGGGTCGACATGTTTCCCGATGTGTGCTGCCACGTGTGCAGGCGCATCTGACGCACTCTGCACGTGCCCCGAACGTGGCGCACCTGGCGCGGCTGGAGTGTGCGGCATTCCTGGCGCACTTGGAACACGTGGCGCATCTGGCGCACCAGGCGTGCCTTGCACGCTCGGGCCCCAGGGGTGCCTGGCGCGCGTGGCGCCCCTGGCACGCGTGGCGCACCTCGCCCAAGCGTCGCGCACATGTGGTCGGCTTTGGTTCCCAGTACGGTGGAGGTTTTAGATAAGGATACCTTCGATAAGGAACCCAGCGTCTCGCGACCGATGGGCGGCCAAACGTGGGCCACCCACCTCGCCTTGAAACAGTAAGGAATGCGCCAGGGTCTGGGCCCCAGGAAGACGTTCCGTATCCAATGCCGCCGCCGCAGCTGTCCATCCAAGGACGACCGCTGAACATGCTCAGGCTCGGGTGTTACTTATGTGTTGGGAGGGTGGGTGAGAGCTAGACGGCTTGCGGGCGGGTGGGTAACTAGACCCCTCTCCCTACCCCTCCCCTGGGCCTGGGCGGGGGGTCCCCCGAAGGGTTTGGGCGTCCAAGATGGCCCAAGATGGCTCCGAGATGAGCTCCAAGATGGCTCAAGATACCCCAAGATACCTCAATATGGCTCCCAACATGATCCAATAGGCGAAGACCGTTCCAAGACGGCTCCGAGTGGCCAAAGAGCTCCCCAAGGAGGTCCCGAAGAGGCCAACATCCTTCCAAAAACTAGGATTCATCCATGTTGTTGGCGTTCTCGCCTTTTCGCTTCCGATGGCCATCCGAAGCCTCAGGATGGCCCCTAGAGGGCTCAAGAGGGCCCCAAGAGGGGGGCAATACAGCTCCACGACGGCCCCAAGAGCGCCTAAGAACACTCCAAGAGCGCCTCAAGAGGGGCCCAAGAGGCGATATTAGGCACTCTCGAATGGCGACGATCATTACGGAACCCTTCTCCTTTGATCGATCTCCTCCAAGGTGGCCCCTAATAGCGCTCCCAAGGCACCCAAGAGTCTTCCCGAGGGCCCCGAGAGGCGCCCAGACGGTCCCAAGAGGCGCCCAAGATGCTTCCAAGAGGCTCCATAGAGGCCCACAAGAGGCTTCAAGAGGATCCCCGAGGCACCCGAGATGCCCCCAAGACGTTCCAAGAGGCCTCCAACCACACTCCTAAGATGCATCCGAGAAGGCTCTTACGTTCGTTCTTGTTCCTCCTCCTCCTCCTCCTCCTCCTCCTCCTCCTTGTCCTCCTCATCATCCGCCTCCTCCTCCTCCTCCTCCTCCTCCTCCTCCCTCCCCCACCTCGGACGGCTTCCCCCTCTCTTTATTCTTCTGCATGCTCCCACACTTCCCTGATCACCTCAACAAACCTGGGCATCGTTTCTGGATGGGCTGGTGGGGATACGCGAAGCGTCAACAACTCGGTGGTTTAGAGATGGGGTCCTGAGGGATGGGGGCATAAGGAGAAGAAGGGGTCCAAGGGTGGATCTACATTGCTTTTGAAGCACCTCGTCCTCGGAACCCCATCCCTCAGGACCCCATCTTTGACTCACCGACTGGTTCGGTCTATAGGTCGGGGAACCCGTTCGTGGCCGATCCCCTTGGCGGCACGCACAGGGGGGTAGGGGGAACGGGGGAGGCGTCTTGCAAGGAAGCTGCTTCTCAGACGGCGCCAGCCCCACATCCGCAGACAGATCCGCGCCCTCTGAGCAACAGGGGTGCTCCTGAGAGGCCTTCCCCCCGCCCCCTGGCCCCCTCCGCGCGAGCCGCGAAGCCTTGGAGGCACGGGAAGGCTCCAGGGAGGCCCCTCCACAGCTCCTGACGGCGGCCCTCGAGGATGGGGGGAACCGCAAGGTATCGACACCGCTACTCCTCGACCTCTCCCAGGGTGCGTTCTGACCAGGATCTCGAGGCGAATCCAGCGGTGGCGACGAAGGGCCTTTCAGGAGGCCCCCAACAGGAGGAACACGCAGGAAGAATAGCGGTAGTGGTACCTCCTCCTCCTCTGACCGGCGGCAGGGCTGGACCTCAACGTTGTTTCTCGTGCTGGTTTTCGTTTTGTGTCTCGTTTTGCTCGGCCTGTTTTCCTGTGCCTCCCTCCCCAAACGAGCAAAAAGCACGGCCGAGGTCCAGCAAAAAGGCGCTTAGGTCCAGACCTGACTGACGGAGGCCCTCGAGCAGCTCGTCGCCGAGCCGAGGATTTTTGGATCGAAGGTTGCTCGACGGAGGTGCTCGCCACCGCGGGCGGCGAGCAGCTCGGAGTCTGCCGGCCGCTGGCAGCCAGGTGCAGCCCGTGCGATCTGCGGTGTACGCTGGCAGCCAGCGTACAGGGCAGGTTTTAACACATAGGGTGTTTAATACATTGGATGTTTAAATAAATGATTAATGTACTGATGAATCAAGACAGTCCTAGCCAGAAATGTTCTAGGAACACCTCGTGGCAACCACAAGAGGTTCTCAGAACACTGCTTGGTGGGGCTATAGGCGAGCCGGGAAGCTTCGCCACTGCTTGACGAGGTGGCCGCGCCCCGCCCGCTGTCCGTCGGGGCGGCCTCGGCCGCGCGCTCGGGCCCGCCGCGCCCGGGCGCCATGCTCCGCGCGGGGCGAGCGGGGCCCGGCCCGCTGCGCGCGCGGGGCGCGGGGCGGGCCGCTCGCGGGGGA